GATGATGGCTGCTTGGGCCAGTCGGTCTTACATAACTGACTGTGCGATAGCCTGACGTGCCAACAACCTCGCCCGTGCCATAGACTCCATGTAGTCGGGTCGCTTCTCAAGAGCTCCTGTCGCGGATGAAATGGTCTCAATGTCGATCGCAATGGTCCTCGGTAGCTGACCAATCAAAGCCAGTCGCGAAGCACTGCCGCCGCAATTGAGAGTGACATCGTGGCCATCGCAGCACTCGTAGCTGATGTCGGAATAGCTTAGGTCGAGTCCTTCTGCTTGACACGACTGCTTGATCTTGAGCACGGACAGTTTAGGACAAGCCAGGCAACGTTCGACTAGTCCTTTGGCGGCAGCGCCTCCTCTGCCGATGGCCAACCTGTTGATCTCGAGATGATCGCATAGCTCGGTGGCCTCGCGCCCCATGAGGCCACCTTGCAGATCAGTAAGCAGGTACCGCATCGCTCCCCAAAGACGTATCCAAAGAGAGTTAAGCGCCTTCGCCAATACTGGACTTGTCTTGTTGATGAGGTGGTCGCCGGTCTTCCACTAGTCGCCTCGTCGACGATGATCATGAACGCTTCGCCCCAGAAGAAAAAAAACAGTCATGCTGGACTATCTCGTTGAACACAAGCCAAGAACGACTTGACCTGTGGTCGTGGACGTCGTCTGGCCACCTGTTGACAGATCTCGCGAGCCTCGAACACCTCCATGCCTTGTAGCACAATGGCGCGTGGTAAGCGCACTGCCTGAAGCATCTTTATCATGTCCAGTGGAGAGTTGTGCCAGAATTGTTCATGGAGTAGGCGCAGTAGTCCAGCGCGGCCCTTCGCGCTGCAATGAACTAGCTCATTGGGAAGTTCTCGCAACTCCACGTTGAGCTTCGTCCGCGATTAGAGACGCCCATTGATCTCAAGATTGTCCATGGCGCCCTCCGCAGAGGTGTCAAGCGGCCCAGGCTTTGTAACAACTGCAAGTGGCTGGCGCCCTGGAACTGCTTGTTTGCCTCGAAGTCGCCGCCTCTGACCTGATTCGCCAGCGGGGCCTTGAAACAGAAAATCAGCCGCGATGACGACGGACAAAATGATGGTAAACATCGCCGAGGCAACTGCATCTTCCCCGATCAGGTGTTTTATCATCCTTGGCAACCTTCACCTGGTAGTCGCCATCCTTGTTACCCAGAAATCTGATGCGATCTGCGTAGTCCTCAGGATTGATAAGTGCAGCCCTGCGTGTATGCATGCCCGAATGAGGTCTCTCGGGGCCCCGCTCAAGGCCCTGGAGAGGTGCGAATGCGCGCCGCGCTAAAGGTGCGGCGAGATACTTGGCGGAAGACGCCCGCCTAGAAGGCCCCCGTTTGGGGGGGCTAGTGGAGCCCTTTGCGAGTTAAGCAAATATGGAGCTGAAGTGGCCGCAGGCCATATTGACCCCAGCGCTATGTTGAGAAGAAAAAGGGGTTCCACACCAGGAGCCCAGGGGCCCCATTCGCCCATGGCAGCGGGGCCCGCGGCGCGATCCACGGGTTCCTAGCGAGCCGCAATAGTTGGGCGAAGTTCGATTTCAAGAAGAGTTTGAGTACGAGGTTTGTGTATACTTTCAAAAAAATACGGGTGCTCAAGAAAGCCCCTTGCCGCTGGTGGACGTCAAATTGCTGGGGTAGCCGAAGGCGTGCTCAGGAAATCGGACAGATCGGCTTCACTGGAAGTACGTTTCCAATGCGCACGCGGGCCCTTCGGACGGAAATATTTCGGGGGGTTGGAGCAGGCCGAGCGCCAGATCAACCCGGTTCCAGTCTACGAGCTAAACGAGGTTCGGCGCGGACATGGCAGGACGTTGGCTTTCATTTTATCCGAGGTGCAGCAGGGTAGTACTCTTCAGTTGGTAATGAATGTCCCTGGGTACCGCGGTCTTGAAGCACGGCGACAGCTGGTTCCTTCAGAGGAGCCTGCGGCGGGGGCAGCTCAGGTCACGCAGCTGATGGGCATTATCAGCACAAAGTTTGACGGCGGACCGACTAAGTTTGCAGAGCAGCTTCAGATCTTGGAGAGTAGGTTTCGGACGCATGGGGAGCAGCACAACGAGAGGCTCTCGGACACGCTCAAGCAGGCAGTCTTGAAGCCGAACGCGCCAGCAAGCATCAAGGCCCAGGTTGATCTACAGACTTTCGTTTCAGCTGGGCCGCTCAAGGAGACGACGTCTCACTACACGCAGTTGCAGATGAGCTCGGCCGCAGCGGGCTCAGGGCCAGCACCAATGGACATAGGCAACGCTCACACGGGCAAGGGCAAGGACAACAAGAGCCAAGGTGAGGACAACAAGGGCAAAGATAAGAACGACTCGAAGGGCAAGAACAATAAAAGCAGGGACAATGGCAAGGGCAAGCCTCAGACGGGCAAAAGACGCGGACAGGCAGATGTCGTGCGCCACCGCCGTGGCCAGCGAGGTCACTACGCACGCATGCGTAGACGGGCCCCGAGTTCTACTCATAACGAAGTTGCGATCGCAGGTGGGCAGCAAGGGGGAGTTTCAAGCAATTCCCAGACGCCAGCGCAGCCTCAGTCGGGAGAGATTGGCGTTGTCTCTGGGATAGCTGCTTCAAGTTGGATATGCACGATCAGCCAGACAGCGATCATGTCAATCGGTGGTTTCGAAGACGACCCATTGTTCGACAGTGGAGCGCGAGCGCGTGTGGCGCCTGAGGAGTACGCAAAGCACATAGAGCTGACCGACATGTTCAAGGAACCAGAGTTGTTCTCAACTACAGGCAAGCGGATCAGAATTGATGGGCAGCGGCTCGTCCCGTTCACCGTTGCGACAGCGCGCGGAAGGCTGCTGGAAGTGGCGGCGCCGTTCGCGGTCGCAGCTGTTCGGAGGCCGCTGATTTCAGTTGGCGAGTGGCGAGCTTACAGACCGAGGTTATATGTTCCAGTTTGGCGATCAGGGCTACATGTCCAAGGATGGATTGACAGTTCAATTGCCGAGAGTTGGACGCGGCTACTACCTCACAAGGATAGATCGTTCAGGTTCGGTCAAGCTGCTGAAGCCGGCCGAACCCATCGAGAGCCACCTGGCGACGATGCCAAGCCAGTCGGGACATCCTACGGGAGGTATCATTGAGAGCGGAGAAGAAGTTCAAGTTCCAGTGGAAGCGGCGGAGGCAGTTGCAATGCGAGCCCCAGAGTTGCCAAATAAAGAGGAGCAGGAGAAGCACGACCTCACCCATATTCCTTACGCGCCGCGGCGCGACAGCTGCGTCATCGGACGAGGACAGTAGGAAGCACATCGACGGCGACAAGGAGAAGCTTCATTACCCAATCCAGTTCTTGGCATGGACTACTGTTTCTCGGCCCTGGAGGATGGCGACACAGAGACGGCTACGATCTTGGTCATTCAGGACAGCGTCTCATCCTACACAGGAGCAGCTCAGGCACCAGCGAAGGGACCGACTCCATACGCGGCGGCATTTCTCAGCAACCCCTGGACGAGTTGGGTTACCCGAGGGTTGCTATTCAAAGCGACGGCGAGCCCTCCATTATTGCTCTTGGGAAGGCGTTAGTCAAGGAGCGCAGCAAGCAGTCCAAGGATAGTCTCACGCAGATCGCATTGCGGCAATCAGCGCCAGGCTCACATGCGAGCAACGGTTTGGCGGAGGCATCGGTGAAGGTCAGCGAGGGCCTGGTGAGGACGCAAGCACATGCAGTTCAAAAGAAGTATCACGTAGTGGTCAAGGGCGACTCCGCAATCTTGAGCTGGATCGTGAGGCAGGCCACTTTCGACCAGAAAAGGTTCCAGTACAAGCGTAACGGCCGGGCGGCCTATGAGGATCTGAAGATGGCGGAGCACAGGCTCCCCCTTCTGAACTTTGCCGAGGATGTCCTAGCGAAGAAGTCTGGAGTTCCAGACAATCGGCTTACTTCAGCATGGCATGATGGAGTGTGGCTTGGGGGGTCCACGGACGCCGACGAGCACATCGCGGGCGCGACGCTGGGCGTCGTGAAGGCGAGGACGGTGGCAAAGAGGCCAGAGGAGTTGCAGTGGGACAAGGAGGCGTTCGACAAGATGGTGTTTCCTATGTGGTCACAGACGGAATTGGAGGACGTTCGCGACACAGCCGGCTGGACACCTACCGAGGGGTGTCAGGCGTACGAAGACGATCAAGCACCAGTTCGACGCGTTGAACGTCCTAAAGCTCATACTACGGCGCGTTTATAAAGGCAGGCCGAATTCCAGAGGTTACGGCTTGGTGGAACAGTGGTGGCACTACCAGCTCAAGCAGCAGCAGCAGCAGCGAAGACATATCCAGGACCGAGGGCAAGACCAGCGGCTGCTAGTCCTCAGCGTGAAGCAGATGATCGAGAAGACGGCGGAGGAGGCAAGCGTCAAAGACCACAGTCACCCAGATCAAGAGCCGCAGATGAGGCTCAGAACCGCATTCAGCCATCGGCAACAGCATCCAGTTCGTCGGCACCAGCAGCTCCGAGGGTTAGGTTCCATGGCAAGCAATCTGCCAGTGGTGGAGAGAAGCGCGAAGCTGCCCTGGAAGCTCAAGAAGCTGGCAGTGCTCAGCTAGCCAGGAAGGAGGACGTGGAGATGTCCATTCAGGTCGTGGAGGAGCCGAAGCCGAACGAGGAGGAGAACGACGAGCAACTGAACAAGCGCGTGATCATGAATCGCGAGTTCACGGAACAGGAGATCACAGTTGCGAGGCACACGGAGTTGAGCAGGCTAGATGAGTTCAAGGCAAAAGAGGACGTTTACAGAGCAGCGGTGGACGGACCTCTACTTTCAGTTGCTTGGGTCGACGAAGCCAGAAAGGAGGGGGCGACGAGGAGGATCTGCGCGAGGCCGTTCAGCATGCCGAAGATGCCGAAAGATCGATTGTACACCCCGACCCCAGGAGCGAGCACGCTACGGATTCTATTAGCGCTGGCAGCTCTCAGGAAATGGAAGGTGAAGTTGTTTAATACCTCAAGGGCTTCCTGCGCACTCCGATTCGGGAGAAGGTCTTCCTCGAGCCACCAGCTGAGTACAAACAGTATGGCATCGAGAACGGCGGCGAGGACCTAGGCGACGTCGCGTGGAAACTGAATTGCACGACCTACGGGCTCAACGTGGCCACGGTGGATTTCGACGCCCACTACAGCCAGATCAACATCGAGAAGCTCAACATGCGGAGGTTCGTTTCAGAGCCAAGCGTCTATGTCGGTGAAGACATGATGACAGTTGTGGCTAGGCGTGTAGATACTGGCATGGTCATTGGCGGCGAAGGTAAACGAACAGCTGATTGTCTCGATGCGTTGGGCGAGCACTTCCTGCTGAAGAACACTCCAGATATGACAAGGGGTAGTTCTCAGGTTCACTTGGGACGTATCATTCGGACCCTCAACAATGATATGGGTGTCTCGATTCGGGTTTCGCCGAAGACGATCGACAGTTCCCTTGAGCACATGGGAGTTCAGGATTCCAAAGCGGTGGCGACCCCAGGTTTGAAGTCCGAGACCAAGCAGGAGGGCGAGGAGTTGCTCAGCGACGAAGACGCGAGGAAGTTCAGGACAGGTACTGGGAAGCTATTGTTTGTAGCCGCGGAGAGGTGCGACTTACAGTTCGCGACGAAGGAGATCAGCAGAGGCATGAGTCAACCGACAGTTGGAGATGCCCTACTTCTTAAGCGAGCTGCGCGCTACCTCAGCGGCACCAGGGGCTACATCAGCTTGATTGTGCCAGAGGATCGGAACAACATCATTCTACAGGTGGAGGTAGACAGCGACTGGGCAGGCGACAAGATGGGAAGGAACAGTACTTCGAGAGGACACATCTACTTCAACGAGACGGTGCTTTCAGCTTCCAGCAGAACACAGGCAAGTCCGGCTACATCTTCAGTCGAGGCGGAGATCTACAGCATGGGCTCAGGATCATGCGAAGGTTTGTTGGTGACGTCGTTTCTGGAGGATTTGTCCCAACCATCCTGTGGTGTTGGGTCCTCATTTTGAAGAGACGGCGCCCCGCGTTCCTTCCTTCCCGCCCTCCTCCCCCTCCTCCCCCTCCCCCTCCTTGCCTCTGCTCTCGGCGCACCTCCCACACGAGCTCCACCGAAGGCCCCAGTGGTGGTGTCCACATGCGGTGCCCCCACCCAGGGCAGCGTTTCGTAGCCCCACATGCGGTTCCCCCACCCAGGGCAACGTTTCGTAGCCCCATGGGGAGCTCCACCGAAGGCCCCAGTGGTGGTGTCCACATGCGGTACCCCCACCCAGGGCAGCGTTTCGTAGCCCCACATGCGGTTCCCCCACCCAGGGCAACGTTTCGTAGCCCCATGGGGAGCTCCACCGAAGGCCCCAGTGGGGGTGTCCACATGCGGTTCCCCCACCCAGGGCAGCGCGTCGTAGCCCCATAAGGAGCTCCACCGGATGCCGCAGTGGGGGTGTCCACATGCGGTTCTCCCACCCAGGGCAGCGCTTCGGAGCCCCATAAGGAGCTCCACCAAAGGCTCCAGTGGGGGTGTCCACATGCGGTTCCCCCACCCAGGGCAGCACTTCGTAGCCCCATGGGGAGCTCCACCGAAAGCCCCAGTGGTGGTGTCCACATGCGGTCCCCCCACCAAGGGCAACGCTTCGTAGCCCCATAGGGAGCTCCACCGAAAGCCCCAGTGGGGGTGTCCACATGCGGTTCCCCCACCCAGGGCAGCGCTTCGTAGCCCCATGGGGAGCTCCACCGAAGGCTCCAGTGGGGGTGTCCACACGCGGTTCCCCCACCCAGGACAGCGCTTCGTATCCCCATAGGGAGCTCCACCGAAGGCCCCAGTGGGGGTGTCCACATGCGGTTCCCCCACCCAGGGCGGCGCTTCGTAGCCCCATAGTGGGCTCCACCGAAGGCCCCAGTGGGGGTGTCCATATGCGGTTCCCCGACCCAGGGCAGCGCTTCGTAGCCCCATGGGGAGCTCCACCGAAGGCCCCAGTGGGGGTGTCCACACGCGGTTCCCCCACCCAGGGCAACGCTTCGTGGCCCCATGGGGAGCTCCACCGAAGGCCCCAGTGGGGGCGCCCGCATGCGGTTCCCCCACCCAGGGCAGCGCTTCGTAGCCCCATAGGGAGCCCCCACCGAAGGCCCCAGCGGGGGTGCCCGCATGCGGTTCCCCCACCCAGGGCAGCGCTTCGTAGCCCCATAGGGAGCCCCCACCGAAGGCCCCAGCGGGGGTGCCCGCATGCGGTTCACCCACCCAGGGCAGCGCTACGTGGCCCCATAGGGAGCTCCACCGAAGGCCCCAGTGGGGGCGCCCGCATGAGGTTCCCCCACCCAGGGCAGCGCTTCGTAGCCCCATAGGGAGCTCCACGAAAGGCCCCAATGGGGGCGTTCGCATGCATGCGTCTCCCCTACCCAGAGGTAGCGCCACCGAAGACGAAATTCATAGTTGCGGCTTTCACAACTGCATATGGTTGGGTCATTCGCCAAGCTAATTTTCCAGGAGCAGGTCAGTTCGCAGCTAGAGTCGGATAGTCCAGCTGGGATTTCATATCAGAGCCGGTTTGGTCTTGGGAAGTTGAAGCGCGTACATATCCAACACATGTTTGTTCAAGAATTGTTCCGTCAGGGGCGTTCGGTGGTTCATAAGGTTCCCACAGCAGAGAACAGCAGCGATTTGGTACTACATACCTAGAGAAGAGAGCTGTTGAGAAACACAGATGGGCCGTGGGCTTGCGTGATCGTGACGGCGGCGACGTTTGCGAAGTGTCTGATTTCCATACAGATACTCAGGCAGGTTCTATCAGAGGCGACGGCGAACTTCGGCGAGGTATGGTTCTCTGTTTGGGAGGTTTACTGACTATGGTCAAGGGCACGGACGCGACTGGCGAGGTTTCTACTATCGAAACGGTGGACCGATCGAACGGTGTGTCTACTTCGACACAGGTGGTGATGCGGATAGATTTCGTCGTTAGTGGTTTGAGTTCCTAGGCGGGTCTACGCCTTGGATATTACATCGAGAAGGCTGACGCCACATCGAGTTTGAAGAAGAACGATCCACCGACCCCAGTCTGAGGCAAGGGATGCGTCAAGGGCCCCAGGAGATATGATTCGCCAGGCAGGTGTCCGAATTGCTCTACTATGTAAGCGGGTGAGTTGACAATTAATGCGAAAAGGAGCAGGTTGTGTAAGCTCCGTTGTGGTGCCAGCGTTAGCAAGCTTGTCTTGATTGAGCGCCTGAAGGCTGAGGGGCATTGGTGGCGCTAGCGAGTTTCGCGCTGCGAAATGCTATTTGATTTGGCGAACGGCGCGCGCTCGTCCCCGCTGCAGGAGGGCCCGAGAGGACCATTCATTTACGCGAGCGGGGCTGGCCGAGGTTTCGACGCGACTCCGAGGGGGCGCGCGCGCGCGCATGCCCTAACGAGGTCTCTCGGGGCCCCGCCCAAGGCTCCAGAGAGGCGTTACGTGAGTGTGCGCCGTGCTAAAGGTGCGGCGAGATACTTGGCGGGCGAAAGGCGCCCGCCTCGAAGGCCCCCGCTTGGGGGGCCAGTGGGGCCCTTCGCGAGTTAGCCGGGATATGGAGCTGAAGTGGCCGCAGGCCATTGTGGCCCAAGTGCCACGCTGAGAGGGAAAGGGGATTCCTCACCAGGGGCCCAGGGGCCCCATTCGCCCAGGCCCCCATCAAACTTATGCGCCTCTGTCCTGTAGCCTTGCGATGTCATCGCGTTGGTCGTGAAAACCTCATGAAGGATAGATTGTAAGACTCGAGATCCATCTTGTTGAGGTGCCATCAATAAACCTGAAGGTGTTCCAGGAATACCAAAACTCAGCGCGCGATCCACGACGGGGAGAGGCGACGCCTTGATCCACGGTTGTTCCGACGGAGTGAGGATGGAGAAATATCTCAGCGATGTTGGCGTCGTGGCTCTGGAACTCCTCTATGAGATCACCTAAAAACTTAAGCCACGTTGGACGAACATCTGGCCGTGCTTTATCTTCCGCTTCACCATCCGCCGCTGGTGGAAATGGTCCGGAAACCCTGCCACGCAGAACTTCTTTGGGAGCAATGCTGCCGCTGCCGCCCTTTTCCGACGGGCCTCGTTGTCGTGGCCTCGTAGGTGCATGGGCTCCTTCTTGCAGCTGCAACGCTTCGCACGATAACTGAAGCAGCAAGTGGAAGCCAATGTAGCGTCCTTCTGATTTATTATGTCATCCTTCCCATTAGAGAACGCACACATGCAAGTATTATAACGATAAGCAAAATAAGCTGGATGATCAAGTAGAGCTGCCAATGGGGACTTGATCCAAATAAACGAAGAGCGAGGATTGCCCGCGAGATGGTCTCGAAAGTCTTGCTCGAGCTTGACAGCGCGCGACGGCGTGAACTTCAGCGTTGGTAGTTCTGACTCGCGCAGCGCCGCGGTGTCCTCGATGTCGCCGCTGGTGCCCATATGACTCCAATGCTTGCATCGCGGCTCCATCGTCGCAGCTCTCGGCTTGAAGGTTATGTCCGCTCTCTGCAACTTGAGTTGGAGAGGTCGACCTCCGAGGTCCCATCCGCGGCGCACATCGACTGGAAATAATACAGCACACAGAAAAGGCAGAGAGACCATGCAAAAAGATAGATGAGATGAGCCTGAACACCAGCTTCACGGGATTGGGCATCCGGGATCCTTTGGCCATTGCAGCCTCGGAAGAGTCGTAAGTCACGGGCGTGATGACAGGTAGCCAGGTGCAGGTCGGGTAGGACAATTCTAGAATCGAGTTGAATTCTGCCTTTGCAACTGCGAACTCCTCTGGAAACGAATCCGAGGGAAAGAAAGGTTCGCCAATCCACAGTGAGGGATTCCTTTGAGGAGAGAGCCTGCCAATCTCGGCAGCACTGCGCGTCGTAGATGGAAATCAAGAAAGAGCGCATGGAGCGAACAATTTAAGGTCATGTCCCGCACTCCGTGCAAATAAATCCCAGAATCCTCGCGCGACGCTCAATCGCCGCCTTCAATCATGGTTGCGAGGATGACGCCATGCTGACGCTGTCCTTGATGTCGCGCCCCTTCGTCGGTCTCTGGCTGGCGCTGAAAGATGGCATTGTTCCACGCGTCGTTTTCCCGGTCGAAGTTGTCGACCGGAAGTAGGCAGTGCGATGGGTCGGTCAGAAGAAGCCTCTGTGAACACACCTCGCCACTGCTGAGCCTCAATCACAAAAGTCCATCTTGATTCTGCAAATGCCAGCGTAAAATTACACTGCCACGTCGTAGTAGCGCCCGTAGTGAAATGAGTCCAGGGCAGTTTGTTGACTGACCTGCGATGGCGTCGCAAGAGAAATTTGCATTCTCCATTCCAACCAAGCCAATCGGCACACACAAGTGCCGATGCTGCGTTGGGGCTGAGAAGAGACGCCAGCAAACTCATTTTTCGAGCGACACCACATCACATGATTCATCAAACTTCAAGGTCGCAGTAGCTTCTAAAAGATACCACGAAGAGTCGCGCTTCCGATAAGACCTCGAGCTGCTCCAGGGTCTAACGAAAACCCCGCTGATCACTGCCAAATTCTTGAAGGATTGCCAGAAGCTGGTAGTGCCGTGAACTCCTTCGGTTCTTCTTGACTCCGTGAATCGTCTGGTCGCGGCGCCAACGCCCAACTAGTCGTCGTATCTTCGGAACTCGGCGTCGCCTGCCGTAGAGAGGGCGCACCGGGCGACTGCGCCTCTTGCCTCTGACGACGCCGCTGCTGACAAGCTGCTGGGACACCCGAGGAAGAAGAACACATCACAAGTAAGTGCCCGTTGAAAACATGACAGATACAAGACAAGCGAGATGCATCTAAAAACTTGTAACAGGTTGATACTGAAGTAGGTGGAGTAGTCGTAGT